TTTCTTTTCCCTTTAAAAATTCATGCCCCCCCCCCAAAAAAAATGTCCTTTTCCTTGCCCTGAAGTCATTTGTTTTCATTTTGTTTGGGGGGGGGGGCTGAAAAAGCCACTTTGCAAAGGTATTGGGTGTTTCTTTCTCAAATTCAGGGACTAGGTTCTTTCCAACTCCATGACAACTTGGATGCCTGAGTTTTAGGGGTAACAATTTGGGGGTTCATCCAGGATTGCAGTGTGGCACCCATCAGGGCTTGGATTGGCCTGCCTCAGTCACATAACAGTCAGCACAGGGTGAGTTCTGTTACAGGAGGGGGTAAGTACTAGCTGGTAGTCACCTTGGGAGAGAACATAAAGGTAAAAAAATGGGACGGGGAGGAGTACACCCCTGGGGAGCCTGTTGGGGCTCATGGTCCAGTTATGGGACCAGGGAAGCTTGTCGGGACCAGCAGAGAATGGTCAAAAGGAGAATGGTCAGACTGTGCACAGGGAAGTGGACAAGGTACACTGGACACCTTTTATTGGAGCAGAAGCTGCTGAACTAGGGCTCCTTTGATTCGCGACTACTGGGGGCAGTCTGAATGCAAATGGAGCAGAACTATCCCCACGAGATGGACTTTGGGTCCTGTGGGCTGGTATGGATGAGTGACATGTCACCCAGATGATGGCTCAAGACTATGCCCTCTGCCCCTCCCTTGATCTGCTACCCCCATCCTACTTCCGAAGGGATGAAAATGACCTAACTCCAGTCTTGTGTCCTCCAGGGAGGAGCTGTGGGGAGTGGGAGTGCAGGACCTGCAATTGTGTGGGCACTCTCACCTGTAGACCCTTCACCCAATGGAGAAAGAGCTGTAATCAGCTCTGACCGATCAGATCAGGTATTTGAGAGGGAGTATATGGGCATGGTGGGGAAGCCTCAGGGGCTACCCACTCTGAAAGAATCAAATAGACTGCAAACTCTGGAATCACAAAAACAGCATGAAAAACTAGCACAGCTGAAAGTGGCTGACACCATCACAGGAGCAGCTGGACTGTCCCCTCTCAGAATTGTACGACAACCTTATGTAGAAATATTTATTTATTTATTTATTTATTTATTTATTTATTTATTAAATTTGTCACCATCCTTCTCATTAAAAAAAACAACTCTGGGCAGTTTACAAAGTAGTTAAAATCAATTAAAAATACAATATAAAATGATCCCGAATAAATAGAAAATAAATATAATCCAATAATAGATGTTAAATTGGCAGTAGCTCGGGGAGTATCATCAAGGCGCCAGCCAGCCCCCCAGGATTGGGTAAGATTCTTGTCACCCCACACAAGCTGGCAGAGCCAGGTCTTTAATCCTTTCCGGAAGGCTGGGAGGGTAGGGGCATGCTGCACCTCTGCAGGGAGGATATTTCAAAGGGCAGGGGCAATGGCAGAGAAGGCTCTCCTCCTGGGCCCCACCAACCAACATTCTCTCACTGATGGGGTCTGCAACATGTCCTCTCTGCCTGACCAGGTGAGACTGGTTGATGTGACGGGGGTGAGACTGTGAGAAATTCCTGCAGGCTTGGGGTGCTGGAAAGCTCCCAGTTCAAGTTGTAATGGGTAAGAAACAAGCTATTTTTCTAAACAGAAACTAGCAGAGATTTTTGGATAATTACAGTAAACAAAATTGGCCAGAATGGGGAACTTTTAATTGTTGTCAATTGAAACTTTTGAAACTTTTTTTGGTGAGAAGAATAAAATAAAATAAAATAAAAATGGGCTACTGGTATTGTTGGGCATGACTTTCAAATGAAATTTGTCCCTGCAATCCAGAAGTCAATTGTAACACTGTCTTGAGACCACCTCCTTGTAATTTAGCCAAGGACAAAATTAGCCCATTAAGAGTACTCTTAAATACCAGGAAAACAATAAAGTGAAAAGAAAAAATATATACCACAACATTGTTCAGAGCTCTGATGACACTCATGATACATTTTACACCGAACAATGTGAAAGAGCTTTTAAGCATGTGCAGTTTAGTGCTAAAAATGAAAAAGATTTTAAAGCTATAGCAGGGTTTTTTTTGTGAATAAATTTGCCACTGACATTTGTAATTTTTTTTCTTTTAAATATTGCTCTACTACTGGAAATAATAGTTATCCAAAGTCATGTTTTTTAAATGTATTTTTACTGAAGAATTTTTTTTACAGAAAAACAGTACAAATTTAAAGGAAAAGGAAAGTGAAAGTAAAAAAGAAAAGTGATAAGTAAATAAGAAATAAAAGAGACAGAAAAAAGGGGGAAAAAAAGGGGAAAAAAGATAGAAAGTGGCTTCTGATCTTCTTTAATAATTTAAACTTATAAATTAAGTTAATTAAACTTCTTTTATAATTTAACTTATAAATGCATTTATATTTTCCAAAGTCGTAGTTTTAAAGAATCATTATAATAGACATATGATTTAAATATCTCAATATATTCTGTACCATATCATAGGAATGGTACTAGGCTAGGAATTTTCATGCAGTATGTTTATCTGAGTGGTTGTTGGCTTTTGGTGCTTTGGACCTTGCTGGTAGTTGCTATCATTTAAATTTCTTACAATGATACAGAACTTTGGTCTCCAACAATGAAACAAGAACGTAAGTTTCAGATAGGGATATTAGATATTCAGTTTTATTGTAAAAATCCAATCTGGATACAAAAAACCCCATACACATTGTTGGGAAAAAAGAAGTAACATCTGTTAAATTACAATGAATCTATTATATTTGAAGCAAAAATACTATGAATATGGTAATAAAAATTCTAAATTATTAACTGTTATTATTAATTATTAACAGAGTTGATTTTGTAGAAAATATGCAGCAACTTATAATAAAATATGGACTTAGCCCAGGAAAATACAAAAGTGTGAAAAAGAAACTCAAGATTGACTTGATAAATTACGGGATATTGCCTTAATAGAAAAATTAACATATAAATTTAAACCAGTTGAAGAAAATAAAGGAGGAAAATAATACTCTAATAATGAATAATACCCTAACAATGGAAACAATATTCAACACAAAGGGCTAATAATCCTTTCTATTTACCTGCACTGATTTTATCTCTTATTTATTTTATCTTATTATTTATCTTATTTAGAAGGGAAAATATGCTATTTGTATTCTAATGTCACAAAACAGTAGCAGTGGTATTTGATATGGGTTGATAATGCCAGCTGCATTACTACAGGCAACAAAGAATATTTATCTTCATTTCTATATATTTGGCAGCCTATTATCAAATCTCTTTTCATTCACACTTTGGGGCTGATCAGTTAGGAACTGATTCCTTTAATTGACTTGTCTGGAGATTAGAGATTCCAAATTCCTGTTCTGTTCTGTTCTGTTCTGTTCTGTTCTGTTCTAAGAGTATATTTCTGGCATTAAATCACCATAGGCCTTCCCCAAATATTGACTGGCATTCTACAGAAACAACTTGCATTATTTGCTGAAATTTCTCTTTCTTCAAATTTATTTCATACAGCATATTTTTTTACTTTGTGATGTAATTCTTGCAGAGAATTTGGGGACCCATTATGAAATGTTTAACATTTTTTGCAGCATAATATTGAATCATTTCTGTTTGTATAGAATAACAACCATTCTGTTTCCTGAAATAAACCTTGGCAACAAGTCACAGGCTTTTGGTGTTGAATGGATTTTGTAATTAACACACATTTGAGTTAAGGAATCACACAAAAAAGTTGAGTATAGTAATGTTATGGTGAACATGATGACTTTTATAGAATACTGTAACTTGCACTTGCTGCCATGGGACAATTGTTTAGGTCTCCTGTGATTTCAGAAAAGGATGTATGTCTGAAAAGTGGATAAAATGCATTTGTTTCCCTCTTGACTTTATAGATCATGTTTTGCACTTTGAATACACACAAAATTGATATGGACAAGCTTTTGGGTATGCAAATTGGTCTTGAAGACTTTATATTTGCTCATGTAAAAGGAATAAAAAAAGAAGTGGAGGTTTTCAAATCAGAAGATTCACTTGGACTTACCATTACTGATAATGGAAATGGATGTGCCTTCATAAAGGTAGGTTGGGGATGAAGTGAGTATTGTTTATGAGAAATATGAACATAATCTCTTTATCAATTTATTTCATTAATTTTTGGTGATAGCACTGAAACTACATTGAGTAACATCTAAAGTGAATGGTTTGAATGCCTGATACTGATATTATTTTTTGAGTGAACATTTACAGGAGAAGGAAAATCCGATAGAACATCTTTTTTTTTTAAAAAAAGAATGTTTCAGTTATTAAAAAGGCACTTTGGCATATGATAAACCATATGTCTTTATGTTGTATTTTGTGTGCATTTGTTCCTTATTCTATCATGATCATTTTAAATTTTTTTAAAAACAGAATCATCAGGCTGACATTATGCACATCTGCGTATTTTAATCCATAATTTCAACAATGAAACGGTAAAATTAACTCCCTACCCCAGAATTTTGGCTTTGATAAGATTTAGATGACCGTAATCACCCTATGGCCATTTCTATCTTTGGGGAGGAGATGAAAATTATATCATATTCTCTGGTCCTCAGAAGTAACTTACATAGAGTCAAAGGAAAGTGCTAACATTTGTTAAAAAATATAATTTTTTTTTAGATCAAAATTTTGAAAATAGAGGCAAATTTGCACTTTTCTTCTAAAGTTGTCAAATGTAGAAGAACTAAAACCATGGCCTTTACATAAATGGGCTCTAAGTTCTTGATTTGTGCTGTACATTTATTTTTATAATTGTTTGAAATTATAGAATATGCGTTGTTAAGTATAAATTCTGAACTGTCTTGTCTGCATTGCCGATGCTACACATGTAGTCTTCTGTTTCATCATTGGGTTTTTCCTGCTCCTTCTTTCTAATGACATCCCCAAATCTTCTGGAAATTTCTTCAAGCCTGTAAGAGCAGATTAGAGGAGATTGGTGGAAAGGTGGTGGGCACAATTAGATATCAGGAGACTATTGTGTTCTTAACTTACTGGGTATAAAGAGAATGAAAATCTCTTCTCTTGCCTACCTCCCATAGGATTTTAGATAGATGGATCTTAGCTAAAAATGTGAGATTTGTTCATGTCCATATTTGTAGTTCATAATTCTGTGGACCAGACTATTTGTTTTTTGTTTTTTTTGCATTCACCATAATTAATATATATTTTTTTTGTCTGCAGAGAATTAAAGCAGGCAGTCTTATTGACCAAATCAAAGTGATATGTGTCGGTGACCATATAGAATCTATAAATGGAAAAAGTGTAGCAGGCTATCGTCATTATGAAGTTGCTAAGAATTTAAAGGATTTGAAGAAGGGTCAGACATTTACATTAAAACTGATAGAACCTATGAAATCATTTGGTGAGTGGCATATATCCACCATAAATTATACCTGTAGTGACAATCTGTATTATGATAGAGTAAAACTAGTCCTCTATGACCATCAGAAATAAGCTACTTAATCATAAGGCTTAAAGCTGACTTGCCATACCTTTAATCCTGTTACACTAATTACTATGCAAACGACTCCACATGAATCTCAAAAACTTTATTTCTTTCTGCACATAAAAAGAGGGGTTACCAAGCTCAGCATGGTTCATGGGATGTATCAAATTTAATTTGGCTGGGTAGCCTGATTTAAAATAAAGACAGAAATTGGACAAAATGATGGAGTGTTTCGTTTCAGAGGTGTATGTATTAGGGCCTTCTTGGTAGTGGTTTTCCATTTCCGCAAATCTACCTCGATTAATCCCCAATAGGCCATATCTTTACTGCCCTTCAGGAAGGTCTGAAAGAATCACTATTTACCTTTTCCTATAATTTAATTAACATTTGATTACCTACGCATACTGGATCTGGGTTGCAGAAATTCAGACCACATTATGGCAGCAAGGAAACAGAAAAGTTTTAACATTAAGTATCTAATAAATATCTGGATTTTTATATCTCAGATATGGTAGCCATACACTTGATAATCTGGTTACAATCATGTAAAAAACACCTTTTTAACAACTATTTAAAATTAGGAAGCATGATGCTTGCAGAATAATGCTTTTTTTCTGTAGACAGGGTTTTAATTTTGCAAGAATATGAAGTAACGTCTGGTGGCTGACTTCAAAAATACTGCAACAGTAACTTTTTAAAATATTAAAATTAATACTTATATAGCATCTCTCTTTCTTGCTTTAAATGTTGCATATTGATCTAAGTCTTTGGGATGGAATAGCAGTAGTATAAGTATTTCTAATTAATGATTGAAACAGGTGCTGTATATCTTCTTGGTTTAAGGGTGCCCTATATTAACCTTTCAGGCTGTGGGCACTATAGGTTTTCAAGGACATCTACTGTGATGGTTTTTGTTTTTTGTTTTTTTTTACTTATGTTTGTTAACTATCAAAGGTCAGATGTTGATAGCTGATTGTATGTAATGCACATTGGAATGTCAGCATCCTGCAAATGGCATACTTTGTATCATTCATATCATGATACAACTGATGCACGTTACATAATTTGCATCATTTGTGCAATGATGTCATGATACACGTGAGTCACTGCGGTTTCTACCGGGTGCCTATGGGTATGTTATTATTTATTAATTTATGGTCAAAGACTAAACCAACAAACTTTAAAACATATACAACAGTTTAGAAAGTGATATATAAATTACATAGAAGCCAAAACAGTCAAGGCTGTGAGCAAGGCATAAGCTGATTCCTATAAGCTAAAGTTACAGTTCAAAATTTCACCACTGCCCTTGATACATAAGTAATAATAAAGTTGACACTTTAATAGAACATGGGATACAAACTCAGCCTCTGTATTTGAACATACTGTATACAAATATGATTTTCATATGGGAGGCTGAAACATCTTCCAGTTGTCACTCTGATGCATCGATTTGGGTCAGAGGAGGAAAAATGCCTATTTGAATTCTGCTAAAGTTTTAGCAGGGGGGATACAAATCTGTCATTCTGGGTAAGATGAACCAAAGAGGTCCCCCAAGGATTTGCTTTGCCTAAGACCTTAACCATCATAGTCTTTCATGGGCCCCAAAAGAAGTGCAGACCAATTCTAATTGCATTACAGTATTAGAGGTTGAGTGAGGGAAGCATGCTATTGTTTTTAGAAATTTAGCTTGTAGAGAGTTGAAGACTGAGGTTTTCTTATAGACACACACATTTGAACACTATAGAGCAACATACCCAAAACTTTGGCCTTGAATAGCTTAATGGCAGCTGGTACAAACTTATTCTCATGGCAGCTTGCACATGTTGTGATTGCTAAAGATGCTTTTTGAGTCCTTATAAATAGTTCCCTTCCCCTCAATTGCTTGCTCTAGCAGGTAGAAGGTTGGAATTAGATGCTTAAATATTTGAAGTTTCACCTGCTCAATTCTAGTTCTTCCATTTGTTGATCATCTGTCCAAGGGGTTGAGGCATTTTCTTGAAAATACCAGGACTTTTGTTTTTGAGTTACTTCAATGCATTCTCTATTACAATAGGCCAATAGCGCTCTAAAATATCTATGAAACCTGACTTTTGATATAGACAGAATGGCTGTATCATCTGTATATTAAAGAATAGATATGGGGCAATTGGCAAGAAATAGGGGATGGAAGATTGAATTGGCAAAAACCTCAACAATGTTGTTAATATAAAGATTGAACAGGAAGCCTATGGGTTTAATTCCAGATTTTTTTTAATTCCTTGGTGAAAGTGGGAAGAGAAAAAGTACAAAATTATTAGTTCATTATGCATCTTGAAGTCAGTAGAGATACATTAATTAATGGGCATCTGAAATTACTTAAAGTTGGCAATTAAATAAAAAGACAAGATATAAACTGAATGAATGACCACTCTGTGCTATAGTAAATTGTCAAACTTTTCTAACTACTAAAGGTATTATAAGGTCTTTTTACCATACTTGTTCAAGGTATATGTCTTCCTACTTGCTTGAAACCTACTTTTTCATATTTGCAGAAGTAAATATGAGTAAATATTTATCTTCTGCATATCTCTTTGCCTCTATCTGGGAGTTGTCTGGATTTTACAGCCCAGATAAGGCATATCTGATCTTTATATAGTCTTGTATAGTATTTTACTTTAGGAAATATAGCTGACTTTCCTTGTATTGTAGGAAGAAAACAGTGTCAGAGATTAAAGTAGACCTTTTCCCAGAAAAGGAAGGATTCCTCCTCTATGACAGAAAAAATTAAAACAAAATGGTTAATAATTAGTTAATGAAGGGTATCCCAGAGATAGGAGGGAAAAAAATAGAATTCTGTGAGGCAGAGACAAGCTGAAGAGAGTTGCACTATTGCCTTGGGTTAAAGTGGTTGTATGGTCCCCTTTAATTAGTTTAGTTTAGTTTAGTTTAGTTTAAGATTATGTGTTTGTTCTTTTTATATGTATTTTTTTCTTTTTTATTTGTAAGCTGTCCATAGCTGTCCATCCTGTTAAGGAGTTGGGCAGCCTCAACAGTTTGAATAAACAAATAAATAAATATACTTTAGACAATGTGAGAAATGAGGTTCTTGAATGGAGCAGCATCTAATTTTTTCAGGAAATGCAGGTGTTTCTTTGCTATGACAAGTCTTTACTGTCTAAGCACTGCTGGATGAGAAATATAGTGATGTTCAGTTAATTGGGCAGTCTCAGTTCTTGGAAGTACAAAATTAAAAGGTGAGGTCAACAAGATTTGCAGCTACATCCTATCCCGTTAGCTTGCCTTTCCCAACTAATTTTTTTAGGCAAAATGGAGATTTTAGAGGCAAGGCTATAGTGTGAGAAAATAGCACACTGGAATTAAGTTGCTATTCACTGACAATTGGTTTGGTGAAATCATATACATTGAACACCACTGAGTTTTTGGAATCTGTAAACAAAGTATTGAGACTGAATCAATTTAGTTAAATAATGGGACAGTTCAGAACAAAGGAATTACGACTCAGACAAGCAAATTTATTAATATGGTGGTTTTTGTAACCATTTGGCTGGCAAAATATTTTTGTATTAAAAATACTGTAAGCTAGTCACTGTTGACTGAATCATAAGCTTTCCAATCTACCTGTTCATAAAATGTGTGGGTTTGGGCCCTGTGAAAAATTTCTTGATGACTGCATCTGCTAAAGCCATCTCCAGGCTAAATCCAATTCTGAGTTGAATAAATCGATTGGCAAACTTCATCTAATGATCCTAAATTTGGGTTTGCTGTTGTTCATCTTGAAAATAAGAATAATTATATTCAGATTTGAATTAAAATTAGGAAAATATGTATCTGTTGCAGAAATGATTGAGCCAAGATCAAAAAGTGGAAATTTTGCAGAGGAAAAAATCTGCCGAGGAAGAGAGACTCTTCGACTAAGATCCAAGGGCTCTGCTACAGTGGAAGAAACAGTGAGTTTTTAATTCATAAATCTTTGTCCTGAAGGCAAATTTCTTGTCCTGGTTTGGAGGAAGCCCTTAAACCAGGGTTTCTCAACCTTGGCAACTTTAAGATGGACGAACTTTAACTCTCAGAATTCCCCAGCCAGCAAAACTGGAAAACTGGAAGCATATTGACAGAAATACTGTTTGGATTGGCATCCTTATCTACCAGGCTTCTTAAAAAGGAATTCATTCACAGAACAGCTGATCTTTCAAATGCAGATTGAAATAATAGATATTATTGTAGGCATTTTATATAGTCTTTCCTTTCCAAATGGGGACCCTCCAGATGTTCTGGAATGCAGTCATATTCAACTAGTGCGGAAGCTACATAAAAAGCAGGACAGCTTATTACTTTGTGTTACATTTATCTAAAGGAAATGCCTAAGAAATGTTACGTAGCATCATACAATTGCAGAGTTGGAAGAGACCATTTAGGTCCTCAAATCCAGTGTATCTAATCTGTGCTTGAATACATTTTGTTTTTTTGTTTTCAGTATTTGCCTTCCAGTAGTTTAAATCTATTATTGCATGTCCTGCATTCTGAGGTTATACAAAGATCTTGGCATTATTTTTTGTGTAACATCCTTTCAGGTATCTTTCCCCCTCAGTGTTCCTTTCTCGAGGCTAAAAATTCCCAGTTCCTTCGGTTTTTCTTTACAGGACTTACTTTTGAATCCCTGATCATTGCCCTTATTGCCCTTCTCAGAACCTGTTCTAATTTCTCTGACTCCTTTGCCCAGAATAGACACAATAGTAGACCAAGGCAGAATTATGTGGACCTATTACTTGTGGGAATTATGCTTTCCCTGAGGCAGCCTATTTGTCTTTTTTTCTGCCCACATTACATTGCTGGCTCAATTCAGTTGATCATCAGCTACTGTTCCAATATCATTTTCACAAATACTATTTGCCAAGCCAGGTTCCCCACTCTATTCCTGTACATTTGATTTCTGTTTCCTATATGAATAACTTTGATTCTATTTCTGTTAAGTTTCATTCTATTATTCTCGGCCCATTTCTCTAACCCACCAGAAGGATAATTTGATTTTATTCTGATATCTACAGTATTAGCATTCAGTTTTCTATCAGCTGGAGATTTGATAACCATTCCTTCACTTCCTTACCCAATTAATAAAAATATTAATAGTATAGGGCCCAGGACTAGTTTATAGTTCCATGGATCCATCTTTTTGCCTTTTTGAAGAGAAAGAATTTTGCCCTCCTTCATTTACCTATTCTCCAGGATCTTTCAAAGATAATAACATAAAGATTTGTCAGATCATCAGAAAGTTCATTCAATATCCAAGGATAAATTCACCTGGTTTTGGAGATTTAAACTCACTCAAAGTAAATAGACATTCCCTGACCATGTTTTTACTCATCTCAAGCTTTAATATTCCCTATTCATTCTGTTCTTCCTGGTTGCTGGTGGAATGCATACACCTCATAAATGTTATGTATTAACATTTTTCCATCTACACAGCAGTTGGTGTACATATCTTTTTATTTTTCTTTTATTACAAATGTAACTGAAGAAGCCCTTTTGATTTAGCAGCAACTTTAATCTTTCTCACATCATCTTTACAATTCCAAGCTATCTGTATGTACTCTTCCTCAGTGATTTGTCCCTCTTTCCAGCTCATATATATAGGTAGTCCTTGCTTATTGACTGCCTTGTTTAGTGACCATTTGAAGTTATGATGGTGTAAATAAAATAGCTTTGCAACCAATCCTCACATTTACGACCATCACAGTGTCCTGCAGTCACATGATTGCCATTCAGACGCTTTGCAACCAGCACGCATTTTTGACTGTCGTAGTGTCCCATAGTCACGCGATCGCCATTTGTGTGCTTTGCAACTGGCTTGCGACAAGCAGAGTTAATAGAGAAGGTGGAAGTAAAATAATAAGTTGCGGTCACGTGATGTTTTACTTAGTGACAGAGTTGCCAATCCCAATGGTGGTCACTAAGCGAAGACTACCTGTATGTCCTCTTTTTGTTTATAGACAGGAACAGTTTTGCAATTAAATTTGCATTTTCTGCTATCCTATATTATTTTCCTTCAATGGTATTGTTTAAAATTATGCTTTTAGTTTTAAGGAACTCCCACCTATCTTTAATTTCTTTTCCCATTAGATTGTCCTACCATACAGTGGGGCAAAAAAGTATTTAGTCAGCCACCAATTGTGCAAGTTCTCCCACTTAAAAAGATG